ATAGTTGATCAAGTCAAAATAATATTATTGGAATATTTATGCCAAGCAAAATAGAATATGATTTCCCACAAAGCATCTTTGAATGTAGTAGTTTCAATCTTTCAAAAAAAAGTACTATCTTTACGCTAGTGTTATTAGCTAGGGGTCTATTCATATTTTAAATATTGGATCTCCAAAGTTTGTACTTTTTCTAATTTATCTATGTCCTAAACTTTGTATGCGGAACTATGTAATTTACTAAATATTACTTGGGTAAGTCAAGAGTTTTGGTACAGTAGGTGCATATTGCAGAACAAATGAATTAGTTGAAAAACAAATTAATTAGAAAATAAAACAATACAAGTATAAGAAACTACATAAGGTTTTAAATTTCATAGTTGCTGATATCTTACAATATGAAAATAAACAAATTTCAAAGTGGCGCAGTCTCTAAATGTTTCATCCATGCCTTTAAATCCACATAGAAATCTCCATCCTTGAAAATTAATATTTGTTCCAATATGTCACATTTCATTTTAACGTATATATATATAAGGTATAAAACAAGAATATGATTCCACTCAAAGTGTATGCTAGTAAATAGAAATTTGGTTTGAATAACCTAAAAATCCTTTGGAAACAATGAATTAAGGCTAATGTTGAACTATAGCTATCATTTTGAAAATTATATTGAAAGACACTACGTAAAAAACGTTTTTTAGCAACGGGATGAATTTTTTGTAGGGACGGCTGGTGATAGAGCCGCCCCTACAAATGGTTGCCAAATGAGCCGCCCTTACAAATGAATTTGTAGGGGTAGGGGCGGCTGGATATTGAGCCGCCCTTACAAATCAATTTGTAGGCGCGGCTGGATATATTTGTAGGGGCGGCTCAATATTGAAGTGCCTCTACAAATGGACGCCGAATATTAAAAAGTAAGCACTAAAATTCAAATTTTGTAAACGACCTCGGATGAAGAAACCACCAAAATAAAAGTTGTAGATCTCGAAAAGTTATGAAACTTTGTAGTTAACAACTTTATCAGTTGAAATCATTAGTACTTGAAAATACTGTTATACATTATTGTTCCCGTTGTGTCCTCTAATTCGGAGCTAATTCTTAAAACTGGTTTAGTTTTCGCATACGAACTCCGATTTCGACGTTTCATATATCAAAATCGATCAGAAAATTTTTTGGATCCGTCCATCCCCCACTTTATCGGGGTCGGAGAATTTTAAATTGGTCAAAAACTGGTCACAAGTTCATCTTTTTGTGGTCACAAGCTTTTTATCGATTTTGAGCACGTCTTCTGAAATTTCCACAGGCCACGTCTTTCACTTGTTTGAGCTCATATTTTCTGTGGTTACTTCTTTTGTGCTCCTAAGTGAAGAAAAAATATCAAAAAAATAAAAAAATTTGAAATTTTCCAAAAAAACAACGATAGCCCAAAAAATAGAAAAAAAGAGGGGTAAAAGAGGAACAATATCTAGAGGAGCACAAAGAGAAGGCCAAACGTTATTTTTGAACACTAATTGATTTCAGATGAAAAAATCATAAACATAGAAGTTGCAGAACTTATCAAGATCTACAAGTTTTATTTTGGTCATTTCTTCATCCGATAAAGTGGTAATAACATTGTTCACAAAATTTACATATCTCTCTTATAGTTTCATAAACAATAAGAGGGATATGTAACATTTGTGAACAATGTTACTACCACTATGTCGGATGAATAAATGATCAAAATAGAAGTTGTAGATCTCGGAAAGTTATGAAACTCTATAGTTGACAACTTTTTAATTTGAAATCATCTTGTCAAGGAAAATTACGTTTGAATTTCTAAAATTTGAAATTTAAATTTTGTAAACGACCTCCGATAGAGAAACAACCAAAATAAAAGTTGTAGATTTCGAAAAGTTATGAAACTTTATAGTTGACAATTTTCTGATTTGAAATCATCTTGTCAAGAAAAACTACGTTTGAATTTCCAAAAATTTGAAATTTGAAATTTTTAAACGACCTCGGATGGACAAACAGTAAAAATGAAAGTTGTAGATCTTGAAAAGTTATGAAACTTTGTAGTTGATAACTTTCTCATTTGAAACCACCTTGTCATGGAAAACTACGTTCGAATTTCTCAAATTTAAAATTCAAATTTTATAAGTGACCTCAGATGGAGAAACTATCAAAATAAAAGTTGTAGATCTCGAAAAGTTATAAAACTTTGTAGTTGACAACTTTTTCATTTGAATTAGTTTAGGGCCTCAAACAATCAATTTATGATCTGTTTTGTATAATACATGGGGAATCAAAATGAATTGTGGACAAAAGTGAATGTGAGGTGTAGTGGTAGAGGAGATGGAGCGCGAGAGAGAGGTCGCCGTGTGTGGCTGCCAGTGGGGACCTCCTCGGTTAAAAAAAAATTTGCTATTTTTTTGCCCCTTTTTTTGTGGTTTCTGGAAATTGATTTGTAGGGACGGCTCAATATCCAGCCGCCCCTACAAATCGGATTTTTAGCCACCCTTTCATAGGGGCGGCCGACAAAACCACCCCTACAGAGGGTTACCAGCCGCCCCTAAAAACCTTTTTCTACGTAGTGAGATGAAAATGTTCACAATAATCATATTGTGTATATGGCTACTCTATATAGTAGACATTGTTTCCTATAATTCATCGTGTGATCTTTCACAACTTTAGCATATACAAGAGTGTGTGTTTTGAACAAAAAAACGTGGGGAAAAATCCCCCCGGCACCCAAAGAACTGCATAAACTAAAACAAGAACAGTTACAGAGAAAGGCGCACCCAGGGGGTGACCACACCACCAACACACACAAAGAAAGAAGAAGAAAACAAGAGAGAAAAGAAAAATAAACTAACTATCTAAACAAAACTACCTACCAGACTAAGCTACCAAAAACAAAACTAAAGAAAGGTTACAAGCTATGAAACCAAGCGTGAACAGAGGATTGCAGGGAAGGCTTGATTCTGTGCAGATGACTAGTAACTTCATGTCTGAAAGTAGCTTTCCAGGAGCTCAAACTAGGAGCTTTTCCTTCGAAGATAAGAGCATTACGTTCCACCCAAATACAATGTGCCGAGATCATGAATATCTCCATGAAGAAAGAGTGAGGAGAAGCTTCCCTTGCAATAATTAATTTTTGAATAAGATCAACCGAATCTGTCCGGGTGATGCCAAGAGCGTTGTACTCTGTCACATGAAAATACATTGATATAGAGATATTTATCATGTTGTTTCAATTCCATGTATATTTGATGTACTTTAGTTATCATAATTTCACATGAACAGCAAGATTTGCAAATCCTGAATTCGCAGTTATAAAAAAGTATTGGTTCAGTAATTCCGCCACAAATAGTACACCCACATATGGTTCGAAAAAAGAAAGACTTGGAGATGTAATGGATCCTAAAGCAATAGCTATTTCTTCATCCAAACCTCCCATATCATTAAATTATATACCTTGGTTGTCAACCAAGCCTGTTAATCGTTTTTCCTCTAGAAAGAGACGTTCTGGCCCATGAGATATTGTGTATATTAATCAATTACCACAAAACTAATACAGTAAACATGGTTATTTATTTTCCACTTCATGTAATAGTTTTTTAATAGTTAGTATATAGTTCTATATACTATAAAAATGGATAAGTTCCTCGATCAAACACAAAAGTTCAACTCCAACGGAAACTTAAAACTCCAAGCAGAATTTAAGAAACAACGATCACATAGTTCCAATTCTTGATGTTTTATCTATAGAAAAAGGGCATATATGCCTATAGATAAGAAACTAAGTAATCTGATTTTGATTTCTTGTGTATTTTTTATAATCAAGAAAAATAAAGGAGGGTCGCTAGCTATCACCATTCACTAATTGCTGGAAATAAAATAGCAGTTTCTGACCATATATATACATATACTCCATATATTCTTGAAACTGTGTGACTCCTATATATCCAAAAAGAAAAGAAAAGGAAGGGTGATAGAGCCATTACACAAATACTGTTGCAGACAGCAATACGCATGGACCTCTTTGGGGGCATTATAGTCCCAGAAGAGATATTGCAATTTTACCGAATACCATTGTCCGAAAAGGGGTAACAGTGACACTGAAGTCTAAGATATATAGTTTGAAGTTTCAAGTCCAACGACGCCACAGATTCACAAGAAAATAACCAATGGATTCTTCTTCTTTTCTCAAGTCAAGGGGAATTAGTCTATTCACATCTGGATCGAGTTCCTTCTTATATTTTGCTCCACAAAGCGGCACACCCGCCTGTCGCTGCTGCCGAGTCCCGTCAAATTCTTATGGTTATTCGGTTGATATCACTACTTGGACAATGACAAAGGCAGGTAATAAGTCACGTGCTTTTATGCGCAAAGCATTGGCACTTGGCAGAGACAAAGAGATGAGCCTAGCTAGAGCTAAGGCCTACTGGACCACACACCTACACCGATACTTACATCCACAGTCCACAGACTTCTCGATTGGATGCGTCATATGTAATGTAAGAATTACTCAGGATTAACAGCTAAATTAAGGTCATAGAGCTGCACCTTAATTATCTGAAGCTCCCTGCATACTGTACTGCATACACTACTGCTCTGCTGCCTAGTCCCTACTGACTTGTAATGTGTATAGGTACCTGCTATAACAAATTTTTTTTTGCCCCGGGTAGTACACATGAACCAGGCTCCAATCCTCACCTTCTTGTTCATGTTTCCATTTCTATTCTTTACATGAAAAGTAACACTAGGTAAATCATATCATATATCCCAGTGAAATGTTAAAACAGAACTGGGTGAAGGTGGGATCAAGAGAAATCACCAAGAACCTGCTTTCATCAGTCGATGCACGGTCCAGGAAATTAATCAACACAGAGGCTTAATCAGCACACGAAAAATATAACAAGAACTCAAAGTAGGGATCAAGCCTGTGATTGCTCGTGTGTGTCCTAACGACGACAAAAAGAACCACAAGTCCGATGAGCGGCCGCCGCAGCCAATCATAGCTTCAAGGAGAGGTCAATGTCGTCGGTGAGATTCCTGCTTGCCTCCGGCGACGCCCTGATCTGGTGCGATGACGAGGAGCTTGGTGCCGAGACCGACCTCGCAATGCCCATTTCCTTCCCCATCCTCGCCTCCTCCTCGGCCGCACTGGCGCGCTCGCCGCCCTGCCCCGCGCGGCGAGCGGCAGCCAGCTCGCGGGCGCGCTTGGCCACGCTGCGCTCGAACTTGTGGGCGTTCTGGTGGCCGCCGAGTGCCTGCGAGGAGTGGAATTTCTTGTCGCAGTAGGTGCAGGAGAAATAACCCGGCGGCTCCGGCTCCGGCTCCGGCTCGGGCGCTAAGGTCGGCTGCAGGGAGAGGTTGAGGTCGAGGTCGTCGCCCTCGCCCTCGCCCTCGCCGCGCGCACTCTCGCCCTTGGGATCCATGGCGGCCGGGGACAGCACGGCAGGCAAAGCCGCAGGCTCCCCGAACGAAGGTGGTGAGCGAATTGAAGAATAGCTGCTGCTGTTTGCCTGTTTCTGGATAACAGTCAATGTACTGTGCCGCACCATTGCACCAATCCCAGGATGCTGGCGTACGTGTATACTATCTACAACCCTAACGAGTGTAGAGAGAGAGAGAGACAGGAAAGGACGTAGCTTAGCTTATGTATTTGTACGTATATAGGGTCCAGAGACTAATAACACGTACGTCTAAACACAAGAGATGTGGCGCTCCATGAAGAAAAGAAAAGAATGAAAAGGACAAAAGATTTCGTCGTCCGTCGTTGATACAGGTCCAACAGCAGAGCTGGTTGCTGGCTGAGCAAAGGTGTTATGCGAGAGCGGCTACTTGCCTACCCTGCTTGGACCAGTGAATGTGAGAAACGAACAGCTAGAAAGTATTTTTTGGAGTTTTAAAAAGAATATCATGATTTTGTGAAAAAATTTAGTTTTGGAGTACCATGAAATGTTTGGATGCAATAAATTTTATGGTCTTGAATACCGTGATTTGCTAAAATCGTAGTCTATTTTAAGTTTTAGAAACTCTACTGTAGATCTTTTTTTTTCTAAACCATGGTTTTGCACATCAATCACTTCTAAAACTATAGTTTCTTGATCCGGTGCTTCCCCTAAATCTATTGAACCGGTACCATTCTCTTTCTCCTCTCTCTCTTTCCATGCAGGTGGCGGCCATGGTGCGACGGGTTCCTTCAGCGCCCCACTGCCGATCTGGCGCCCCCTTCGCCAGATCCAGTGGCCCTGTGGCTGGATCTAGCAGGGCCTATGATGGGGAGCCCTCTCAGGCCGTGCCTGGGCGGGCGCTGGTTGATGCCCATGGTGGTGCGGTGGCGGCTCCGGCCCAGGGCACCAGAAACGGCACCGGATCCACAGGGGATTGCATCCACAGTGGCACTACGTAAAAAACGGTTTGTAGCAACGGGATAAATTTTAGGGGCAGCTGGTGATGGAGCCGCCCCTACAGTGGCGTGCTCGAGAGTCCAGAGACCAGCCGCCCCTATAAATGGAACAACAGGGGCGGCTGGTCATACGAGCCGCCCCAACAAATGGGTCAGATTTGTAGGGGCGGCTCACTCACCAGCCGCCCCCGGTATTGCTATTTGTAGGGGCGGCTGGTGATTGAGCCGCCCCTACAAATGCCCGTGTATAAATACCTCTGATTTGTAGGGGTGGCTCCATCACCAACCGCCCCTACAAATGGCTCACATATAAAGCAAACTGCAGGACCTTCTTCCTCCTTGGGTCACTCACTCCAACCCGTGAAAGAAAGGTGGGGAGGCCTTGCGCACCTCCCAAAAATTTCTCTACTAAGGAGGAAGGTTTTGGTCTCAAATTCTTTGGTGGAGAGGTTGTAAACGGTAAGAAAATGCTATTCCACACTTTTTTTTAAAGTTTTAATAGTTGGTTAGTGAGTAATTAGAGTTTTGTTTTTCTCTCTCTTCTATGGTGCTTAAGCTACTTATGAAGCAAATTAGACCCAAGTTTTGAATGTACTAGGGTAAATTAGGGAGGGGAACAAGATCATACCCTTATTTGGTCCATGTTTCTTGATTTTAGTGAACAATTTGTTAGTTTTATGGATGTTTCATGTGCATGTAAATCTAGATCTAGGGTTTGGTTTTTTTATTAATTTCGGTTTTGTAAATTTGTGTTTGATGAAATTAGACTAGGGTTTGCATAAAAGATATTGGGTAAAATATAATTGTTGCTAATTGTTGTCTTCGAAATTTTTATTGTAATCAACAAATATGTATTTTAATTATTTATGGATAAATGGGCCATTAATTAATTTTCTTCTACCATGGTGTGTTTGTATGCTTCATGTAATTATATTTGATTTATATTCATATATATCTGAAGTATATATAATGATTCTCAAGTAGTTATTAATTTGATTCATTTTTATATATATATGAATAAGTAGTCCTTTATGTTCTTTTGTTGTTGTTGTAAAAGATGGAGTACAGGAACTCTTGGATGTATGGTTCGTTAAGGTTCAAAGTAGGTTTCCGTGAAGAGGTGGATAAATTTATTGAGCCCGCAAAGAAGCATGCAACGACATTGACAGAGATTAAGGATACAATTATTTGTTCCTGTAAAGATTGCAAGAACCGTATGGCATAGACAGATGTGACTATCATCAGATCACATTTGATTATGCGAGGATTTGTTAAGGACTATATAGTGTGGATTCATCATGGTGAAACGGTTATTGTTAACGACGAGGATGAGGAGGAATACAACGACGAAACCATAGAATCCCTGTCCCAATATTCAGCAGAGCTTGATGCACGAATGGATTCGGAGTTTGGCAATGAACAAGGTGGTGATGCTGGTGGTTGGGATGGTAACGACGAAGGTGGTGCCAATAATGATGGTGGAGCATGTGTCGGGGATGAAGATGATTTGGAGGACATGATTCGAGCCCTTGGACCAGAGATTTTACTAAATAGTCCGAAAGGTCTAGAAAATTTGGAAAGAGTGACAAAAGCATCGAAAGAGACTGTGTATGGTGTTGAAAAGGGTTGTCCAACACATTAGACATCGCTACGTTTTGTGCTTAAGCTACTCATCCTAAAGGCTAAGTATAGCTGGTCAGACTGTAGTTTCAATGATCTATTGCATCTCCTGTCATGGGTGCTGCCACAACCAAACTTAGTTCCCGCCAACACATACCAAGCGAAGAAGGTCATAAGTCCATTGACAATGGGGGTTGAAAAAATCTATGCATGCCCCAATCACTGTATACTTTTTCGTGGCAAAATGTTCAAGTCACTAGATAAATGTCCTCGGTGTGGGGCTAGCCGGTACAAGAACAATGACCTTTACGGTGGGGACAAAGCCTCCATGGGGAAAAAGAGGAATAAGAAGGGTACAAAAAAGGTGGTACAAGAATCTCAGCCCCCAGAGGACACTCCATTAGGCAACGATGCAAACCAGAGAAGAATTCCTGCCTTGGTAATATGGTACCTGCCAATGACCGACCGCTTGAGACGTATCTTCCTAAACTCTAAAGAAGCCGCACTCATGACATGGTGGGATGATGAGAGCAAGGTGGATGATGATAAGATTGCACACCTGGCTGATTGTAGTCAGTGGCAAAGGTTTGATGAGAAGCACAAAGAATTCAGCGATGACCCAAGGAATATACGGTTTGGCTTGAGCTCCGATGGAATGAATCCCTTCAATGAGAGGATGAGCGACCATAGCTCCTGGCCAGTGAACTTGACCATGTACAACATCCCAACGTGGTTGTGTCAGAAGAGAAAGTACCTTCTCCTCACTATTCTTATTTCTGGCCTTAAACAACTAGGCATTGATATAGACTCTGCCCGCGGTGTGCTTCAACCTAACACCAGACGAGAAGAAAGCTATATGCACTTTCCTAAGGGGGGTCAAAGTCCCCACTGGGTTTTCAGCAAATGTGAAGAAGCTAGTGTCGATGAAAGACTTGTCAATAACACGCTGCAAGGCTCACGATTATCATGCGATGCTGACAGTGTTTCTACCTATTGCAATCTGGGCTATAAAGCCAGAGTTCTTAAAAATAGCCATCACCCGCATGTGCTACTTCTTTTCGAAGATCTCATAGAAGACGATTGGCAAGCAAGAGCTGAGTGACCTACATGAATTTGTGGTGGAGACACAAAACCAACTAGAGATGTGTTTACCTCCTGCTTTTTTAATATAATGCCACATCTCATGATTCACATAGTTCATCAAATACAGGCGCTGGGCCCTTGCTACTTGCATGAAATGTGGTCCTACGAGCGGTTCATGTCAGTTCTAAGTCGATACGTGCATAATCGAGGATACCCAGAGGGCTCCATGATAGAGGGTTATAGTACTGAAGAAGTCGTCGAGTGCTGTTAAGAGTACCTAAAAGTACAGAAAGGGATTGGTAAATCCGATTCTCGTCACAAGGGTAGGCTGGCTGGGAAGGGCACCAGTGGTAAAAAAATGTTCATCGACCATGATTACAAAGAGGTGAGTCGGGCGCATTACAGTGTCTTGCAGAGTACACAACTGCTGCAACCGTACATTGATGAACACTTGGCTATCATTATGGCGGAGAGAAATGGTCGTTCGAATGATTGGGTCATGAAACAACACAAGCAACGACTAACTACATGGTTGAAGGACCAAAACGTATTGCCTGGAGAAACCATAGACTCTATTACCATCAGTAGGTTGGCAGAGGGACCGTCGAGACAAGTGACATCTTGGAATGCTTATGACATCAATGGGTATACGTACTATACCCATGCAAAGGATAGTAAATATGTGAACCAAAACAGAGGCATTCAAATAGAGGCTCTCGATGGATTGGGGGTGAAAGATCCAATACTTTGGCATCATTGAAGAGATATGGGAACTTGACTATGGAAGGGATATAACGGTGACCCTGTTTCGATACCGCTGGATCAAACAACACCAACTAGATCGGATTGAGAGTTCTGGATCTCGAGAATCTAGGCTACCAAGATGACCCTTGGGTGCTCGCTTCACATGTCGTACAAGTTTTCTATATGTCTGACCCACAAAGTTACCTCCCCCCGAAGAAGAAGACAAAGCATGTGGTTGCCTCCGGGAAACAGCACATTATCGGAGTTGATGGCGTGGACGATGTTGAAGCTTACAATAACTATGATGAGATGCCGCTATTCACAGACTTTCCTAAAAAGATCAGTATTGTGGAAAAGAACCTACCCAAAGACATATTGCCATGGAAATGAAAAGATGTCAAGGGGAAAGTCGTTACAGCGGGCTAGCTAGTTGTTGAACATGGAGTGTTTGTGTAAGTGTGTGTGTAAGACTATATATTTTTGTATGTGTGTGAGACTATATTTATGCATGTGTGTGAGACTACCCTTTGCAATATCCAGATGAATCTATTTCAACATCCACTCTATTACAGCTGAAATCATTTAGTGGTTGAAAATTAGGTTTGAAGCTGTCATTTTCTGAAATTCAAAATTTGAACTGTTTAAATTTTGTCAAATAAAAAGATGACCAAAATAAAAGTTGTAGATAGTGATGTGTTCAACAAC